AGCCACGCCTTGCCTGACTGGGTTGGCGGGGGCGGGGGGGACCCTCAGTCTTCCGCGCCCAGCTTAGCGCGCCCCCTCCCGGCGCGCAGTCGTGGCTGCGGTCCTTGCCCTGCGGGCCTTTGGGGAGGGGGCTTGGAAGTTGGGTTCTCCCCTTCTAACACCATCTGCACCCCTACCCGTCCATGCCCCGACTTGTTTCGCTGGGGCCTGGGGTGGGGGGATCTTGTGGGTGACGCTAAGGACTGAGTCAGCTACTTAAGTTTAGCCGCAAGCCAGAGGGAGGAACGGGCGCGAGGGATGGGTAGCGTCGGGGGCAGGGCCTGGACCCTCTTGCTTCTCCAAGCCCCTCCCTCTGACTCCACCCTTTGGAGCTTTCCAGTCTGAAGTCCAGCACTCATATTTCCCTCACACTCGAGGTTGCCTTGGTGGGTTTGGGGAGTGGGCTGCAGGCGGAAGGGCGTCCCCCAGCAAGAGGGCTCCAGCATTGGTGTCCACCTCCTCCCCGCAACGGGGATATATGTGTCCCCAGGGAAGAAGCTGAGGATTTGTGAGGGGTCTTCCTGTCTGTCCATGTGAGGGTCGCCCCCCATATCCGAGAAAGAGGCTATGGGGTGGTGTCTGAATGTTGGCCAGGCCAGTACACAGTGTTGGGATGTCCCTCTGTATCTGTGTCTGTTTCGGGGTCTGTCTGTGTGCCTGGGTGGTTGTCTTCTGGAGTCTGAGATTTTGCATTTGCTGTTTTCTCTGCCTGGAATGCTCCTCCCCCATAGCCTCTACTTCCATCTGTGAAAATATAGTATTTGCCCCCGCCCACCACCATCCTCCTTATCTTGTGTCTTTTGTTTCCTGGGGCCACTGCAGCGAGTTACCACAAACTGGGGGGTTTAAAACAACAGAAATTTATTCTTGCTCACAGTTCTGGAGGCCAGAAGTCAAGGTGTTGGCAGCCACAGTCTCTCCAAAGGTTTTAGGGGAGAGTCCTTCCTTCCCTCTCCCAGCTTCTAGAAGCTCCAGGTGTTCCTTGGCTTGTGGGTGCCACACTCCAATCTTGGCCTCGCTCTTCACATGCCCTTCTCTTTCTCTCAAGTCTCCCTCTGCCTTTCTCTTGTGATGACACTTATCATTCAATTTAGGGCTCACTTGGATGCAAGCCAGGATGATCTCATCTTGACATCCATCACTTAATTACATCTGCAATGACTTTTTTTCCAAATAAGGTTATAGTCACAGGTTCTGGGATATGGACATGTCTTTTCTGGGGCCACCACTCAACCCACTACATCCTTCATGGCCTTCATGGCCCTCAGCAACCCCCGCCCCGCCACTTCCGGCATGTTGTTTCTTTTTTCCTTTTACCCTTTTCTTTTCCTTTCTTTCTTTCTTTCTTTCCTTTTTTTGTATTTTTGGGGGAGGTAATCCGGTTTATTTATTTATTTTTTAATGGAGGTGCTGTAGATTGAACCCAGGACCTCATGCATGCTAGGCAGGCATTCTACTACCGAGCTACCGCCGCCCCTCATGTTGTTTATTAATGCATTATTTGCATATCTTCTCTTCGCCAGAGCTGGCTGTGAGCATCAAGAGGGTAGGGACTACTTTTATTGTGTTTGCGGCTGTATTCCTATTGCTAAGAACACAGTAGGTGCTCAGTGCTATTAGCTGCCTGGATGAATGAGTGGGCGTGTTTGCCTGTGTGTTTCTTGTCTGTTTTGTGCGTATCTCTGGGTTTGGGGCTGTCCTGCCCTGACTTCCCCCACCGAGCCATTTCTGCCCACAGGTGCCCACCGGGCTGGGTGGGTGAACGGTGCCAGCTGGAAGACCCCTGCCATTCGGGCCCCTGTGCTGGCCGTGGCGTCTGCCAGAGCTCGGTGGTGGCGGGCACTGCCAGGTTCTCCTGCCGCTGCCCCCGAGGCTTCCGAGGTAAGAGAGGGTCTGGAGGGGAGCCTGAGACAAGCAAAGGTGTGGGCAGCCCAAGCTCACCCTTTCTGGTTCCCTCCAGGCCCAGACTGCTCCCTGCCGGACCCCTGCCTCAGCAGCCCCTGTGCCCATGGTGCCCGCTGCTCGGTGAGCCCCGAAGGCCGCTACGTCTGCTCCTGCCCACCTGGCTACCAGGGCCGCAGCTGCCGAAGCGACGTGGACGAGTGCCGAGTGGGCGGGCCCTGCCGTCACGGTGGCACCTGCCTCAACACGCCTGGCTCCTTCCGCTGCCAGTGCCCAGCTGGCTACACAGGGCCACTGTGTGACAACCCTGCCGCGCCCTGTGCTCCCTCACCATGCCGGAACGGGGGCACCTGTAGGCAGAGTGGCGACCTCACCTATGACTGTGCCTGCCTTCCTGGTGAGGGAGCTGTACCCAGGGGAGACAGCAGAGGTGGGGGGACAGCCGACTAGCCAGGAAGTGACCCTACTTGCTTCCTCCTCCCATGCTAGGGTTCGAGGGCCAGAACTGTGAGGTGAATGTGGATGACTGTCCGGGGCACCGATGCCTAAATGGGGGGACATGTGTGGACGGTGTCAACACCTACAACTGCCAGTGCCCTCCCGAGTGGACAGGTGAGCAGTGGGACTGGAGGGAAGACCTCAGGTGGGACATGCGCTGGTGTCTGGACTGGGGCATCTTTGTTCCACAGGCCAGTTCTGCACAGAGGACGTGGATGAGTGTCAGCTGCAGCCCAATGCTTGCCACAACGGGGGCACCTGCTTCAACACGCTGGGTGGCCACAGCTGCGTGTGCGTCAACGGCTGGACAGGCGAGAGCTGCAGTCAGAATATTGATGACTGTGCCACGGCCGTCTGCTTCCACGGGGCCACCTGCCATGACCGCGTGGCCTCCTTCTACTGTGCCTGCCCCATGGGCAAAACTGGTGAGTGGCTGTTTTCCCTGGAGGCAGCAGGGAGTCGTTGATGGTTCTTGAGTGGGGGCAAGGATGGAGTCTGACTTGAGTGTTAGAATGATTATGGTGGAAGCTGGATTTGGGGTAAAGGGTGAGCCTGGGGGAGGCCTGGGAGGAGGCTGGCAAACAGTCCAGGGCAGAAGCCATAGGACTGGAGAGCTAAATCTTTGGAAGTGGCAAAGGTCAGAGAGGGTGTTTGGGAGCGGGACTTGGAAATGGAGAGGCAGAGGGTACTGCAGAAGCAAAGACTTGAGCATAGGACCCTTTTATAATCAGAAAAAGGGTCAACAGATTTAAAAACAATATGTAGATGTTTCCAGCTTATTTTCAAATGGTTACAGTAGTTGAATCTAGGTGGTAGGTATATGAATAAACTTTACTGTATGTTTGAATTTTTCATTTATTATGAAAAAACCTGTATGAATTTTTCATAATAAATGATTGGGGGGAAATAGCTACTAAGAACACTGCTGGTTAATAAAAACCAAAACCAAAACCAAAACACCAAACAATATTTGGCGGTTTGGGACTTTTGGGCAGAGCTGGGGTGGGGGGTCTGCCCTTGACCTCTGCCTGTTCCTTCCCAGGGCTTCTGTGTCATCTGGATGACGCCTGCGTCAGCAACCCCTGTCACGAGGATGCTATATGCGACACGAACCCGGTGAATGGCAGGGCCATCTGCACCTGTCCACCTGGTTTCACAGGCGGGGCGTGTGACCAGGATGTGGATGAATGTTCCATCGGTGAGGGGGCGCTGTCTGAGAGTAGGGAAGGAGGGGAGGGGCAGGTTATCAGCTGCCCGCGCCCTTACTGGCTATGACTACTCCTGCAGGAGCCAACCCATGTGAGCACCTAGGCCGGTGCGTGAACACACAGGGCTCCTTCCTGTGCCAGTGTGGCCGTGGCTACACTGGTCCGCGTTGTGAGACCGACGTCAATGAGTGCCTCTCTGGGCCCTGCCGCAATCAAGCCACGTGCCTCGACCGTATAGGCCAATTCACCTGTATCTGCATGGCAGGTGTGTGGTGGGCATGGCTGGGGCAGGGCCTGAGAAAAGGCAGCAGGCTGCAGGGGTGGGGAGGGGAGCAGGAGGGGGAGGACCTGGAACTGGGATCCTGAGAGATTGAAGCCTGGGATGAGGTGGAGGCAGAGCTAAAGCAGAATCTTCTTCGAGGCTGTTGGCAGGTCAAGTGGAGTCAGTAGAACCTCATGGGAGTGGAATCTGGGACTTAGGACCCACTGAGGGGCGGGAGAGACAAGAGGGCAGGACCAGGGTCTGGAGTAGGGGTCGAGGTGGAGCCTGCAGACAGCCCTGCACTGATGCTGGGGTGGGACTGAAGCTGGACACAAGGCTATGGTGGGCCCTGGGGCTGGGAACTGGGGACAGGCATCATCTGAGGACTGGAGAGGGAAGGGATGGTCTGAAGGCAAGGCCCATATGGAGTCTCATAAGCCTTGAACCATTTGGGACCACAGCAGGATGGAGGTCCAACCTAAGTCTGAAAACTGAATCTAGGGTTGGGCTGGGGGCAAGGCCAAGACTCAGGGGAACTGTCTATGAGTGGGGAGGGGTGTATCTCCCCCCTTGCTCTCCCTTTGGACCAGAGGCTAAGCCCCGCTGCCTAATCCCCCTTCCTCTACCTCTAGGCTTCACAGGCACCTATTGTGAGGTGGACATGGACGAGTGTCAAAGCAGCCCATGTGTCAATGGCGGGGTCTGCAAGGACAGAGTCAATGGCTTCAGCTGCACCTGCCCCTCGGGTAAGGACTCTGGGCCAGAGAGCCTGAAAAAGATGTGTCCCTGCAGGGGCAAAGGCTCCAGGGTGGGACCTGATAAGGCCATGTTAGTGGATAACTGTTATAACAGAAACCGCCTTATGCAAAACATTGACATTAATTTAAAACGAAGTAAATGACATTAAGTTAAAACCACCCAAATAAGGCAGCGCTGGTGAGGGGTGACCGCTCTGACCCTATCTGGGCCCCTGTTCATCCCACACTCCTCACTCCAGGCTTCAGCGGGGCTATGTGTCAGCTGGATGTGGACGAGTGCGCCAGCACACCCTGCCGGAACGGAGCCAAGTGCGTTGACCAGCCTGATGGCTACGAGTGCCGCTGCGCAGAGGGTGAGGGCGGGCCAATGACAGGCCGGCGAGAATCTGGAGGCGGGCCTAGTGGGGAAGAGGGCCAATAATAGCCTTGGGGAAAAGTTGGGAGCAGGGCTGCAGCAAGGCAGCACCCGAGCAGGGCCAATGACAAAGCCAGGAGCCAATGATGGACGTAAGCAGAGGTAAGGCTAGGGGTGGGGCCAAAGGGTCTCGCAGGATAGGTGTGCACTTAATTAGACGGGGCAGGTCCTATCCCCTCCATCCCCAGGCAGCTCCCATATGTCCCTATTTCCAGTGGAGGGCGAGGCAAATCAGGGCTAATGGTGTGAAGATTGGAAGTAGGGTCACGCAAGTAGGGGTAAGATTTAATTATGGAAGGGTCCTGGCCAGGAACCAGTCTTGCAACTTGTAGCTGGATGAAACGGAGTCCAGCTGGGGGTGGGGGTGGGGGTGGGACCTGAGATGAACCCGCCTCCTGTTGGCTCGATGGGCAGGGTCTGAGGAAGAGCTAAGCCACGATTAGGCACAGGCCATAGCTCTGGGCAGGACCTTGGCAAGTGGGTGGAATCTGACCCTCTGGCCCCACAGGCTTCGAGGGCACAGTGTGTGAGCGCAACGTGGATGACTGCTCGCCAGACCCATGCCACCACGGACGCTGTGTGGATGGCATCGCCAGCTTCTCGTGCGCCTGTGCCCCGGGCTACACCGGCACTCGCTGTGAGAGCCAGGTGGACGAGTGCCGAAGCCAACCCTGCCGCCATGGGGGCAAATGTCTAGACCTGGTGGACAAATACCTCTGCCGCTGCCCTCCCGGCACCACAGGTGGGTCTGGGGGCTGGGCTGGGGCAGGAACAGTACATCTGGTGGGGCACAGAGGGTCTGGGAATGGTGCTCCTGGCATGGCACAGTGGTGGCTACCCCTGCCACGTTCCCTTCCTCAGGTGTGAACTGTGAGGTGAATATCGATGATTGTGCTAGCAACCCCTGCACCTTTGGAGTCTGTCGGGACGGCATCAACCGCTATGACTGTGTCTGCCAGCCTGGCTTCACAGGTGGGCCAGTGGCTGCCAGGGCAAGGGGGTCTTTATAGAAAGAGAGTGAAATCACCCATCTTTCTTGGCCGGGTTTTGCCCCTCTCTTTGCACATGCTTGTCCAACGAGATTGTCCACACTTTGCTCTGAGGTCGTGCTTTCTCTCATTGGCATGTTATCCCCATATTGGCTCAAGATGATCCTGAAACTTACATGAGGGTGTTCAGGTTCAGGGATTGAGGTGTTTCTGAGTGGGGCCAAGGTAATCCTTGGTGGAAATGAAAGTGACTTCGTGTAAGTTTAGGGATGAGGCTGATTTGGGGCAAGGCATCTCTGGGTTGAGGAGGTGGCTGTCTTAATTTATAGAAGAGCTCGTGTGTTATGAAGAAAAATGAGATTGTCCTGCTCAAAGGTCTTGCTGTGCTAAATGGGGCAAGGTTGTCCCTCCCTGGCTGGCTTGGCCATCCTTGTCCTGGGACGAGGTTGTCTGTGTGCTCCCCAGGGCCTCTCTGCAATGTGGAGATCAACGAGTGTGCGTCCAGCCCGTGCGGAGAGGGAGGCTCCTGCGTGGATGGGGAAAACGGCTTCCGCTGCCTCTGCCCACCTGGCTCCCTGCCCCCACTGTGCCTCCCCCCAAGCCATCCCTGTGCCCAAGAACCCTGCAGTCATGGCGTCTGCCATGATGCGCCCGGAGGGTGAGGCCTCTCCCCAACCCCTGACCTCACCCCTGCCTCCCTGCCCTCCTGCCAGCCCTGACTGCCTCCCCCTCCAGGTTCCGCTGTGTGTGTGAGCCTGGCTGGAGTGGCCCTCAGTGCAGTCAGAGCCTCGCTCGAGATGCCTGTGAATCCCATCCCTGCGGGGCAGGCGGCACTTGTACCAGCGACGGAACGGGTTTCCACTGCACCTGTCCCCCTGGTGTCCAGGGTGTGTGTCCCCACCTCCCCTCCCCAGGCCCTCCTCCTCCCTTCTTCATTCTCATTTCCCTTATGCTCCACCCTCTCTTCCTCCTCTGCATTTGCCCTTTTTATTTTTTCCTCCCCCACCCCTACCCAGGAGCTTGGGAGGTGTGTATCCAGGTGGGGACCCTGGGGGGAGATGGGAAGAAGGAATCTCTCAAGACTATCTCACCCTGCCTGCCCATTACAGGCCGTCAGTGTGAGCTGCTGTCCCCCTGCACCCCAAACCCCTGTGAGCATGGGGGCTACTGCGATTCCGGCCCGGGCCAGCTGGCTGTCTGTTCCTGCCCCACTGGTTGGCAAGGTACACCAGCTGCTTCTTCCTCCTCCTCTCCTTCACCTCCTCTGCCCCCTGCCCCATACTGGGTGATGCTGGGGACCCAGAGAGGTGCTCATCCCTGGCCCTGCCTTTTAGGGGAGCTTCCTTCTGGGAAGAAACAGAGCTAGACACAGACAGTTGCAGCCCATGTGGTCAGTTCTGGAGAAGAGGAAGGGACATGGGGAAGCTAGGGCTCATGCTGAGAGTTTGGGGACAGCTTCCTGGAGGAGCAGACATGAATCACAGAATGCATTCGCCACCCACTGAAACAAGGAGAAGGCAGTTCCGGAACAGCATGTGCAGGACGCCTAGAGGCAAACTGTTCTTGCTTTCACCCATCTCAGTCTTCAGGTTCTTCCTGAGCACCAGGTACCCTCAGACCCTACCCTGCACCCTCTAATCCTGAATGTTATTTTCCTCCCCACTCCCAGGCCCACGATGTCAGGATGATGTGGATGAGTGTGCCAGCCCCTCACCCTGTGGTCCCCATGGTACCTGCACCAACCTGGCAGGGAGTTTCAGCTGTACCTGCCAAGAGGGCTACAGTGGCCCTTCCTGTGATCAGGACATCGATGATTGTGACCCCAGTGAGTTCAGGGGAGCTCTTGTCAGGGTGCTGCCCTAGGGAACATGTATCTCAAGCTCCTACTGTGTTCCTAGCATTTCAATTCTGTGCTTTCATTTCATCTTCACAGTTCTCTTACTTTCCCTGTTCTACTCATGAGAACTGAGGCCCCACAGAGGTTAAGTGACTTGCCCATGGTCATGCAGCAGGTAGAGGGATGAGCTGGGATAGGAGCACAGGTCTGTTGGACTCTGAAGCCTATAGACTGCCTCTGGCAGCTGACAAGTTAGGACTGTGTGTAAAGTATGAGATAACAGGCCCCTGGCGAGTCTCTAGGAGCACTGATCCATAGTCAAAAAATGCAATCTATATATGAATTAAATTTTAGGTAATAGTCCCATTAAAAAGGAAACAAAACAAAACAAAAAACAAAACAAAAAAGGAAACAAAACAGGTGATATGAAATTTAAACAATTTATTTAATCTCATACGTAAAAATATTGTCATTTCAACATGTAATCCATATAAAATTATCGAGATTGTTTACATTCTTTTTCCTTTTTCTTCATACTAAGTCCTCCCAATTTGAAATCGAGTGTCTATTTTACACTCATAGCATATCTCAAATTGGACCAGCCACACGTCAAGGGCTCAAGAGCCACATGTGGCCAGTGGCCACCATACTGGCCAGCACAGGTCAGAGGGAGGAGGCTTCCTGTGCTGAGCCCAGGAATTAAGCAGACACAACTAGCAGCTAAAGGCTCAAAGGAGCCTTTTTTGGCTCCTCCAACTCCGTCCCCCTTCCACATAGGTGAGGTTTCCAGATAATGGTGGGGACGAGGCCACAGAGAGGACAGAATTTGATCCCCCTGCCCAAATGTGCCCCTCCCTCCCAGTTCAGCCTAGTTTCCTCCCGATTCCCCCTTACGCAAGGCATGGCTGGGTGAGGTTGGGCTGATCGGGGGTGAGGTGGGTGACCAGACCTCCTCCTTTTTGGCCACAGACCCCTGCCTGAATGGCGGCTCATGTCAGGACGGAGTGGGCTCCTTTTCCTGCTCCTGCCTCCCTGGCTTTGTTGGTCCCCGCTGTGCCCGGGACGTGGATGAGTGTCTGAGCAGCCCCTGCGGCCCAGGCTCTTGCACAGACCACGTGGCCTCCTTCACCTGCACCTGCCCGCCGGGTTATGGAGGCTTCCACTGCGAGCAGGACCTGCCCGACTGCAGCCCCAGGTGGGTGGGGCCTCTCCTGGGAGTCAGGGACCCTGGCATTGGATGAGGCGTGGGACCTGAGGAGTGGGGACAAGGGGCGAATCCTCGGCTTGGCACTCAACTCAGGACTCTGATGCCTGATGGGGCAGTGTCCAGGAAGGCGCAGGGCGTCTATTGGGAGGTCACCTTAGGGACGCTGGTCCCTGAGAGGGCAAGACCAGGCCAGGGTGACGCCTCCACTTGGCTCCCACGGAGCCCTGAAGTACCTGGTATATTGCGGCCAAAGGACACGACGGGGTGGGGCCTCTGCAGGGACCGCGGCTTCTCCTTGGGGTAGGGGTCGAGTGTTTGCTCACCTAACGCTAGGAGGGGCCTAGGAGCGAGGGCGGGGCCTCCAAGGGGGCGGGGCCTCCAAGGGGGCGGGACCTGACGCCCCACCCGCAACCTTTCTCTCCAGCTCCTGTTTCAATGGCGGGACCTGCGTGGATGGTGTGAATTCGTTCAGCTGCCTGTGCCGCGCCGGCTACACCGGCGCACACTGCCAGCATGAGGCCGACCCTTGCCTCTCGCGGCCCTGCCTGCACGGGGGCGTCTGCACTGCTGCTCAGCCGGGCTTCCGCTGTGCCTGCCCAGAGGGCTTCACGGGCACTCAGTGCCAGGTGGGCGGGGTCACTGGAGTCTTGGGGCAGGAATCTAGAGGGATGCTCTCAGGGAGGGGCCCGCATGGAATCCACGTCTGGGGGTCTGCTGGATCCTGGGGATGGGTTTGCACAGTGGTGAGGGGCCTGCCTGGGATCCTGGGGTAGGAATCAGGAGAGGCCTTCTGGAGCCTGCCCAGGACCCTGGAGGAGAAGCTGGGGCATGATTCCTAGGGGTCCCCAAGCTAGGACACTGTGGCCTTCCTCTCCAGACGCTGGTAGATTGGTGCAGCCGTGCGCCCTGTCAGAATGGAGGTCGCTGTGCCAGAACTGGGGCCTCTTTTTACTGCCTGTGTCCCCCGGGATGGAGCGGCCGCCTCTGTGACATCCAGAGCCTGCCCTGCAGGGAGGCCGCAGCCCAAATCGGTGAGGGGGAGCGTGTAGCCGGGTGTACGGGGCTCAGGAGGGTGTGTGTGCACAAACTTTCTTCTAGTGTGAAGAGGAGGGTGCAACAGCATATAGACATGATGGGGTGTGTGTTCAAGTGTTTTGTGGATATGTGACTGTGTGACAGGGGCAGGATGGTGTGTATGTTCCTCACCTTGAGACAACGGAGATGTCTGCAACTCTGCATGTGACCTAGCTGGTGTGAGCTTCGAAGGGGTGTGTGTGTGGGTTTCAGGGGATGTGTGACAACTTGATGGAGTGTGGGTGAGACCTTGGTGACATGCTGGGGGGGGGATGTTGGGTGGTGCAGGGAAGAGGAGGTGCTGTGCCTGACACCACTGTCCTCTCTGCCCAGGGGTGCCGCTGGAGCAGCTGTGTCAGGCTGGTGGGCAGTGTGTGGACAAAGACAGCTCCCATTACTGTGTGTGCCCAGAGAGCCACACGGGCAGCCACTGTGAGCAGGAGGTAGATTCCTGCTTGGCCCAGCCCTGCCAGCATGGGGGCACCTGCCGAGGCTACACGGGGGGTTATGTGTGCGAGGTAAGGAGCACCCAGGGGAGGGCGCTAGTCACTCCTGGGTGTCTGGGTACACATTTCTGTGTGTCTATATCCTGGTGTGGTGTGTCTCTCTCTAGGTGTGTCTGGGGTCTTGCTTTTGTTACTCTGGGTATATCTTTGTGGGTGTCACTCTGGTAGATCTGGAGGGTGTTTCTGTCTGTCTGCGTGTACTCCTGCCTTTGGTTGTCTCTTGGACATGTTTATGTGACTCTGTGTCTCTCTGGGTGTGAATGCACGTGCTGGTGTCTGAGTGTGCATCTCTGGGTGTGTGTGTCTTGGATGTATCTGGGTGTCTGGGTATTTCTCCTGTGTGTCTGTCCTGGGCACTTGTATGTGTGTGTCCCTTTGCACTGGGTGTATTTGTCTGGTGTCTTGTGTCTGGGTGTGTTTCCATGTACCGGGGGGTTGTGTGTCTGTACACGGGACATGTCTCCATGTGTTGGATAACAGTGTGTCCTTTCACATTGGGATTCTCTGTGTCTTCATGGGAGTATCTGAGTGGGTCCCTGTCTCACTCCCACCACAGTGCCCGGCTGGCTACACTGGTGACAACTGTGAGGATGATGTGGACGAGTGTGCCTCCCAGCCCTGCCAACACGGGGGCTTCTGCATTGACCTCGTGGCCCGCTATCTCTGCTCCTGCCCCCCAGGAACGCTGGGTAGGCCAGGGCCAGAGCTGGGGGACAGGACGGGAGGCTGGGTCTCTGTCCCCTCCTGACTGTTCCCCCATCTTCCCTTCCCCCAGGCGTGCTCTGCGAGATTAATGAGGATGACTGTGGCCCAGGCCCGCCCCTGGACCCAGGCCCCCGGTGCCTGCACAATGGTACCTGTGTGGACCTGGTGGGTGGCTTCCGCTGCACCTGCCCCCCTGGATACACTGGCCTGCGCTGTGAGGCGGACATCAATGAATGTCGCCCAGGCGTCTGCCATGCAGCGCATACCCGGGATTGCTTGCAGGACCCAGGTGGGGGCTTCCGCTGCCTTTGTCTTGCCGGCTTCACAGGTGAGCATGGAAGAGGGGGCTGGCCTGGCATTCTGCCTGTGTTCACCACTGTGGCTGATCCATGTGCTCCTGCTTGCCCAGGCCCCCGCTGTCAGACTGTCTTGTCTCCCTGTGAGTCTCAGCCTTGCCAGCATGGAGGCCAGTGCCGGCCGACCCCGGGCCCTGGGAGTGCGCTGACCTTCTCCTGCCACTGTGTCCCGGTAGGTGGAGGTGACCAGTCACATCAGGGTCTCTGGGAGATTGAGTGAGAGCATGGCCTCGTGGGAGGGTGTGGCTTTATGGGAGAAGAGGTGTGAGAGAGAAGGGGGTTGTGGGAAATGTTGAAATTATCTGGAGGTTGTGTGTGGGGAAGGTGGCTGGGATTCGGAGGTGTGGCTTCTTGTGGAAGGCGGGGCTTACCTGCAAGGTGGGTCTCCAGTGGAAGGGGGAGAGGTTGGACCTGGGGACACTGGAGGCCCAACCTTTCCCAAGTCCTGATCCCCCATATTTCCCCCTCTCTCCGTTTAACCCTTAATCTTCTCCACCCTTACCATTTCTCTCTTTCCCTCCTTACCCTCTCCCTGCTTCTCCCCTTCTCTCTTTCCCTCCCCCTTGCCCCCTTCGCTTTTTTTTCTGTCCCCCCACCCAACCCCCAGCCGTTCTGGGGCCCCAGTTGCGAGCGGGTGGCGCGCTCCTGTCGGGAGTTGCAGTGCCCCGTAGGCGTCCCGTGCCAGCAGACGGTCCGTGGGCCGCGCTGCGCCTGCCCCCCGGGGCTGTCGGGTCTCGCCTGCCGGGGCTCCCGGGGGTCGCCACCTGCGGCCGCCAACGCCAGCTGCGTGACCTCCCCGTGCCT